GAATACTACATCCAGCTGCCTAGCCACTCAACCAGGCCCAGCCAAGTTGGCACAAAAACATAACCACACAATTAGATATTGATCTTTATGCATTCCATTTCATTTTTGACAACTTCCAATTTTCCTAGAGTCATGCTTCATGCATTCTATGTTCTGTTAATGGATGTTTGCAGCTGTTTCTTCTCATCTTGAGAACTGCCACATCAGCAAATGGAGGTCCTGAAAGCATTATTCCATCTACATCATTAAGGTTGACTCTATTGTGAGAAGACAACTCTTCCCCAGTCATATTTTGAGGGCCTTCCAACCTGAGGGGTCATCTTCCAGTACTGTATTAGACAATGTTCCAGGGCTATTCATAGTTTCCCAGTAATATATCAAACACTGTTTCACTGCTATCCATAAGGTTTTCACTGGCCAATTCTTTGAGAAGTGGATGGCCCCTTCCTTCTTTCCAATCTGTCTGTCTGGAAGCTCCACTGAAACGTGTCCACCATGGGTGACTGTTCTGGTTACCTAGTGTTTCTCTGACAGGAATATACCACAAATGGGATGGCCTTAACAAACAGGAGTTTATTCTTACAATTTGGAAGCTTAACATCCAAGTTCAAAGTGCCAGGCTCTAGAGGCTGTGTGAAAACCCCTCGACCTTGGGCTTCAGCTCTGCCTCTTGCTCCCGGCCCACTGAAGCTAGAGCCATCTCTTTACTCAGACAGCCACTGGTTCCTGAGGCAAACAAGCCCAAGGTCGACATATAAAAAGGCACAGTTACCAAACCACATGGCAGGCCATTAATTTAAGTCCATTGAAAGTCTCAAAGTCAGCAGAGAATGGCAGGCTGCTGAACAATGACAGCTACATGCAGGGTCCAAGCATGCCACAAGGCTAGAGACCATTCCCCAAGGCTTCTGCTTTAGACCACATTTCCTAAGGCAGCTACTCAGCGTCTCACAGTAGATTCCACCATGGAGTTGATTACCACTCTCATAATGGGGAATACTACATCCAGCTGCCCAGCTACTTAACCAGGCCCAGCCAAGTTGACATACCAACTGAACTACCACAGTGACCCTGCAGATATTTTAAATACCAGTGGCATAGCCTCTAGCCTCACAGCAACACTCAAGCCACCACAGTACAGCAAGCTGACAAATGCATGGGAGAGGGAGTAGATTACCAGGTCTTTTCTCCCAGGGAGTAGCTGGTGGGTGGGTCTAAACTACCAACCTTGTGATAATCAGCAAACACCACAGAAAGCTCTGTGGTGTGCACTTCTACTCTGACATACATGGGTCACCAGGGGTCAGAGGACTCAATGGTAATGGGATTATTTGTGCATACATCATAAATGTTGTGCTGAGGATTAAGTAAAATAATCCATCTAAACTTGGCACATAGCACACACTCAGTAGCCGCTGGCCATTGTTATCACTAGATGCTGGCCAGGCCAGTCCAGTAGGATCTGGCACTGTCTGGTCACTGGCCTTGATCCATTCTGCTCTTCATTTGGAGACCCCACCTTTTATTTAAATTGTGCTTCTCTGTGGCGCTAATGAAGACATTTAGCATGCTTATCTCGAGGGAACAAATATGGGATAATAACTATTTTAAATATATTCAAGAAATGACCTGCTTTATTCAGTCAGGGCAGTTAAAAATTATTGTGGGAAGAACAGAATTTTGTTTCAATTCTACTGTTCACTAATGATTTAAGAAAAAGAAGACAAATGAACTCCCTTCCAATCTTAAGATGCAGTTGCAATTCTGGTGCACCTCCAAGTAAGATCGCTAAACTTGCATTCTTACATCAGCAGACTGGATACTTATTATCTTTCCTCTAAATGATCTCATAATGTTTACTCTTTATTGTTAGAGTCAAGCTCCAAACTTTGTAGCTAATATTACAATATAACTTACCTAAAGTTGAGAAAAATGTTAAAGACTAGGAGAAAGAAGCTGAAATTTTTCACTAATATTATCTCTAATAAATGATAGTCTTGAATGTTTAAGGAAGTATGATGAAGTAGTGGGGGGAAAAAAAGTATGCAAAGTAATATAAAGTCTGTGTGAAGGCAATTTGTAGAAATACTGTTTTCTCCATGAGGAAAAATGAATTTTTTTTTTCCCACAAATGTGATAAATGTTGTTTTTCCATTTCTTTGATTTTTATATGTTTCAAACAGAGCTTTGAACTTGTTTGAAACAGTTCAATCATGGTTGACAGAAACAAGGCCCTGCTCATAGCTGGCAGCTAACTTCAGTGCTTTGAATGTGTGTCTTTGTGCCAGCTGCCATATTTGAGCATGGCAACACTGACTGTTTCATACTTAGGTCAAAATCTAACTTGGAGTATATTTGATTGCTATGCAATGTGTAGGCTACCTTTGTTTCTGTTGGCCATGACTGAATTGTTTCAGCCTGTGAAAATAAATTATTTGTACTGAAGTGGGAAGACTTTGCTTAACAACCATATCTCAATGAGATTTGAAAAAATAATCCAATGATCCGTTTCGGCAATAATATTTTTTTAAAATAAATGACATTAAGGGAAGTGCTATCAAGGGAATATCATTACAAATGCAAGTAAAGATTGCTTTTTGTGAACTTGTTTCTCTCCAGAACACCCCAGGTCAAGTCAGTTAAAGATCAGATACCAAAAAGAAAGCATAATTGTTGAACATGTTGAAGTGTCAAATGATCACATAAGCACATATTTTATATTATGATTTGATGTATAATTATGTCTAAGTGCTAATCACTGCAATGAATTAAAATCAATTTCCTTGTTTTTTACTAACTTGTTTTAAAACTAACCTGAAATTGTGTACTCAAATGCAACCTCAGAGATGATTAAAAATTAATATATTGTTTTATGATTTTTTTGTTTGTTTGTTTGCAGAAAATGATGATCATCTGAATAGCTTGACAAACAGGATAGAAAATGCTGATGTCAGAAATGGAGATCTCCTAAAAGCTTTGAATGACACTTTAGGAAAGTTATCAGCTATTCCAAATGGTAAGTATTCAGAACTCTGCAAACTTTGTTGGTTGACTTGAGTTTCTGAAGAAGGTTGTAACTTTTACTATTTTGTCTAACATTTTACTTGTACTGATGTCAAGAAATTAGATATTTTCTTACTTATCTGCTATTTTTTGTTACTTATTACAGATTGAATTGTGTCCCAAATATATATATAGAGAGAGATAGATAGACAGACAGATAGACAGATAGAAGTCCCAACCCCTACTATCTGTGAACATAACCTCGTTTGGATGTAGGGTCTTTGAAGATGCTGTAAGTTAACATGTGGACATACTGGAGTGGATTGATCCAAATCCAATATGAGTGTCATTCTTAAAAAAAAAGAAAAAGAAAAGAAAAGGTAAGAAACACAGGCACAGAGACATGATGGTTACTTGAAGAGTGAAACAAAGCTGAAATCATGCTCAGCTGCAAGCCAAGCAACATCTGGAGCTACCAGAAGCTAGGAGAGGTGAGAAGAGAACTTTCCCTAAAGCCTTCAGATAGACTGTGGCAGTGCCCACACCCTGATTTCAGAATCTAGTCTCAGAACTGGGAGACAATAAGCATTCTTCCTATGAGACCCTCAGTTAGCAGTACTTTGTTATGGCAGTCCTAGGAAACTCATACAGTCATCTTACCTGGCATCTGTGGAAACAGGTTTTAAAAGCAAATATATAGCCATCATATTAGTATATTGTTTTTCACATTTCAGCCCACAAAACCTTGTTTTAGTGAAAAATAATTAAATCACAGAGACGCTATTTTCTAACATGTTGCTATACTGCAAGAAAGTGCCACTTTAACACAGTACCTGTAGTCACAGGTGAGGACCAACTTCCTTTCAGCATCTCTGTCCTGGCAAAGTTCATTTCATTAAACATCTTAACTTTCATAAACATTAATGGTTAAGCCATGTCTGTGATATCTTTCTACCAATTAGTATTACTTGAAGTTATTGCTTGGTATGAGTTCCTGAAAGCACATATTCTTTAGATATACTATTTTCAAATTTTGCTAGCATGTTACCATAATAACAAGAGTTGCTAACATTTATTAAGTGCTTATTCAATATGCTAGCAATTTCATGTAATCCACATACTAATCCTACAAGGTAGATGGCAGTATTACCCTCGCTTTAGGGATAATAAACTGAGACATAGGATTTTCAAGGCCATTGTTAAAATGTTATAAACGATATTTGAACCCTGCAGAGCTTGTAGTCTTAACCAGAAAGCTATACATCATAGTGGGCATCTATATATGCAATATGCGGTTTATATTTATATAGATTATAATCAAGGAGATACATGCATACATTTATACAACAGAGGAAATATTAAAATCTAAGTGGGTTTTACATTTTTTAAAATATTAAAAAACCTGAGTAACAATCTGGATTTTCATGTCACCTGTTCAGTAGGAATTAATGAACTGTATAGAAAATCTCCAATGCTGAAGAGAAATATGGTGGCACTAATCTGGTGGCATAATGCCAAAGGCATTTGACTACTAACCAGAAGGCTGGTGGTTCAAACCCACCAGCCACTCCTGGATCCAACTCAACAGCAGAGAGTTTGGATTTTTGGTTTAACACATGTGGAAAAATACCCAACAAAGTCTCTTTATCCTAAAATTGAAGAACTTTCTCCTCCTCCTTTCCCCCAGTGTTGTTGTTTTTGTACATGCCCTTGAGTTGGACCCAACTCATAGCAATCCCTCCTTGGGTTTCCGAGGCTATATCACTATGGAAGTAGATTGCCCAACCTTCCTTCCAAGGAGTGGATGGTGGGTTTGAACCACCAGTCTTCTGGTTAGCAGTCAAGTGCCTTAGACATTATGCTACCAGTAGTGCAGGTTAAATTTTAAGTCGACTCTTGAGGAAGGTTTATGGCTCATGAGGAGCCCTGGTGGTGCAGTGGTTAAGAGCTCAGATGCAAACCGAAAAGTCACCAGTTTGAACCCACTAGCCACTCTGTGGGAGAAAAATGTGGCATCCTGATTCCACAAAAATTACAGATTTTTGGACCTTTTGCCACAGTTCCATTGCAGGGTTGCTATGAATCAGAATTGATTTGATGGCAATAGGTTAGGGAGCTCTGGTAGCATACTGGCTAAGACACTTGCCTGCTAACCAGACAGCTGGTGGTTCAAACCCGCCAGCCACTCCTCGGAAGGAAGTTTGGGCAATCCTACTTCCGTACTGATACTGCCTCGAAAACCCAAGGAGGGGTCGCTATGAGTCAGGGCCGACTCGACGGCAAAACAACAACAACAACATAATAATAGGTTAGGGAGCTCTGGTAGCATACTGGCTAAGACACTTGCCTGCTAACCAGACAGCTGGTGGTTCAAACCCGCCAGCCACTCCTCGGAAGGAAGTTTGGGCAATCCTACTTCCGTACTGATACTGCCTCGAAAACCCAAGGAGGGGTCGCTATGAGTCGGGGCTGACTCGACGGCACATAACAACAACAACAACTTTAATATGTTCAGCTATAAATCATAATATGCCCTTATACAATGAGAATTTAAAATAATTACTTTGCTATTTTAAGAACTAACCAGGTATTCATGGCAAAAGTCCATTAGAAAATTAAATTTAGCTAAAAATTTACTTCATTTCCTACAATAGAATGAGGCAGAGTTCAGCCTTTTCCTTTGTAAATGTGTCCCTTAGGTCAGCCAGCCTCAGCCTTGCTTTGACAAGCATGGATTCAGCCACTAACCCCAGACTCTTTGTTTTGTTTCTCATATACTGTTCTACTGACAGATACAGCCGGGAAACTGCAAGCTGTGAAGGACAAAGCAAGACAAGCCAACGACACAGCAAAAGATGTACTGGCACAGATTAAAGACCTCCAGCAGAACCTTGATGGCCTGAAGGAAAATTACAATAAACTAGCGGACAGCGTAGCCAAAACAAATGCTGTGGTAAAAGATCCTCTCAAGAACAGTAAGAACTCCTTTTTCACTTTGATTAGGTCATTTATTTCTTCCCAGAAAGGAAGTATTCTAGAGTCATAAATGGTGGCGCTGGAGAAGACCCTTGTGCAGGTGTAATCTCCTCTGTCTCATGGACTGAGCTCAGGAATCGAGTGTCCTGCAGATCCAACACTATAATCCAAGCCTCCCCGCTTATCCCCAGTGCATTTTTCACCTAAATATTGTTCCATCTAAAGAAAATTCAGAATCTTTAGGGCCTGCATGATGTTTGGTATATTTGAATATACAGCTGTACTTTGAGGAATTATATCCTCAGAGCTTGTGAAGTTTCATGCCACATAGAGGTTAGGGAGAATACTCATAAGCAAGAGTATTATAACAGGGTATTAAAAGTGTGGTATTGTTATGCTGTTGAGTTGATTCAGAGTTCTAGGGACTCGACATGACAGGGTAGAACTGCCCCACAGGGTTCCTCAGGCTATAATCTTTACAGGGGTCAGCCAGCCTTCTTCATCAGGCTGGCTTTACAGGGGTCATCAGGTCTTCTTCAGTGTGGAGCAGCTGGTGGATTCAAACCTCTGACCTTTCAATTAAAAGCCTAGGGCTTACCCACTGCTCCACCAGACCTCTTTTCATTGAAAGTGGTAGCAAACTGAAATGCGTTAAAATGTTTTAAATGCCTTAGGTATTGCACCACCAGAGCTCCCATTTTATTATGCAGGTTTCTATTATTTAATGTTTCCAGGTAACAAAAATGACAGATTTATCTAGTTTATAAATAAACTCATAGTGACTTAATAAGGATCTTTTGAAAATAAATTCAGAGAAAATGTGGGAGAGCTTAATGTAGTGATAATTCAAATTATTAGTTAAATTCAGTAGATAGACATTAGGATTTTAAAAGTATTACGTCCTCCTAGCAAATGATAAAACATTGCCTTGATATACTGTTTCACCAAAGGAAGCATGTGGTTTTCTGTACTTGCCACTCTCAAGAGACTTTGTTGTTGTTGTTGTTATGTACCGTCGAGTCGGCCCCGACTCATAGCGACCCCTCCTTGGGTTTCCGAGGCAGTATCACTACGGAAGTAGGATTGCCCAACCTTCCTTCCGAGGAGTGGCTGGTGGGTTTGAACCACCAGCCGTCTGGTTAGCAGGCAAGTGTCTTAGCCACTATGCTACCAGAGCTCCCCTCAAGAGACTAGCCCTCTTTATATACAAACATTTTAATAGGGTATCAGAATATTTATAAAATGTAATACAAAAATAATATTACTAGCATAGTGCCTAAGGCACTTGCCTGCTAACCAGAAGGCTGGTGGTTCAAACTCACCAGTCACTCCTTGGAAGGAAGATTGGGCAATCTACTTCCATAATGATACAGCCTCGGAAACCCAAGGAGGGGTTGCTATGAGTCGGGTCCGACTCAACGGGACATAACAACAACAACATTGACATCATAAGCTATGAGTTCAGATGCTGTTTGGGAAGCAGAGTTTGATTTCAGCACCCAAAACTCAAATAAAATGCTAAAAATGCTATGAAATAGTTAGCATTACTCCTTTGTTGTTGTTGTTATGTGCCGTCGAGTCAGCCCTGACTCATAGCGACCCCTCCTTGGGTTTCCGAGGCAGTATCACTACAGAAGTAGGATTGCCCAACGTTACTTCCAAGGAGTGGCTGGCTGGTGGATTTGAACCGCCAGCCTTCTGGTTAGCAGTCAAGTGCCTTAGGCACTATGCTACCAGAGCTCCTGCATGACTCCTTTAGGAGCAAGAAAGAGTGCAGCCACATATAATACACATTCAGAGCTGGAGATACAATCATTTCATTCCTCGACATTTCTTCAAGGAAGAAGAGATACAAATGTGCGTGTTGTTGTTGTTGTTTTTCATATGTGAGCTCTGAGCTTCTCCCTATAGGTCAAAGATTGCATAAGAATAACTGGTGTGTAATCTTTGACTAGAAAGAATACACTAGGATAACTGATTCTAATGTATGCCTAATCACAGTATTTTCCCAGAAAATTAATGGAAATAAAATTTTAAAGTAAATGTCACTATCTGTTTTATTTATTTTATACTTTAAGATTACATTTCAGTCAACTTCTGATCGATAATCAACTGATAGTGGCCTTTCATAGTATTATCTCTGACTTGTTTGGTTCCACTCTCTATCAAGAGAAAAAATTATTTGTAAATGTTAATTAAATTCAGTCTGTTTTCTGTCTTATTAGAACATTATGATAAAGCTCCTTTGAATTTGAGAAGTGCGTTGCTAAGTGACATGTTTTTGTGCACCTTCATTTGATAGCATTTGTTTGTCTTAAAATGGGCTACAACTGTAATTAGTACCTATTGTGGAAAGTATCATTTTTGGTAGTCACTAGTTTATAATATATATGTATATAATATTTCCTTATTAATTTTCTAATTTCTTTTTTGTTTTACTTCCCTGTGAAATTACCTGCAGAAATCAGTATGTATATGTTTACTTGCATATTTTTAGTAATTTTTATGCTTGATTGCCTATTGCAAAAAGCTTTAGCTTTGCATGTTATCATGTTTTGATATTGCTTTAAACATTACATACCTATTCTTCTCAGTGTTACAATTAAGGCAATTTAGGCAATCAATCCAATGAGTTGGAAAAAATAAAATTTATTTTAAAAAAATAAAATGAAAGGAAATACTAATTAATTAGAAGACATAAAATCATAGACTTTGATAATTAAACTCAAGAGTTGAATCTTTAGGAATATAAAAATAACAAAAGATTAGCAGGCTTAATCAAGAAAAATAAAACACAAATAGACAAAGTTCAAAAGAAGATATAACTCAAGAAGGAGGGAATTTAACACATTATAAGAGAGTATAAGCTCTATGCTAATAAATCTTCAAACCTGAACATTATGGACAGTTTTTGAGACAAACATTGCTATCTAAATTAATCACTAAAGGTGATTAAAAAATCTATACTGCCAAATAATTATGGAAAATTTCAGCAAGTTATTTTTTAAAAATTACCCAACAAGAAAGCATAAGACTCAATCTTACAGATTACATACTTATCAAAAATTCAGGAAGATAATTTCCATATGACTTAAACTGCTCTAGAAGATATGGGGTGGTGAGGGGTGGGGGGCCGGGTAGGAAATGCAGCATCTAGATTCTATTTTGAAGCATTTGAAACAACTTCCGGGAGCTTTAGAAGAAAAGGATTTGTTACTTGCCTAAGCCTAAATTGTCTTTGCTTAATTCTTTTTATCTTTATCATGAATCTAAATTGAAATCATTTTCCCCAATTCTAGAATGGTTTGTAGAAAATTATACTTTATACTGGAAAATTAAAAGAAGAAAGAAAATGGACAAGTGATTTATTAAAAGCACATAAAAGTGGCACCTGTGTTTATGTTGAGTATCTAGATAATTTTTAAGAAGAGTTCTTACTATGATATCATACATTTCAGGAAGAAAATACTCAGTTCTTGATCTAGCCACTCTATTAATTAAAGTTAATAATAGACCTATGTTCTTTTTAAACATGACGAACAATATAACATATTTATGAACATGAGTTCAAAACACCTACTTCAAAACCTAGTTTAAAAATAGTAATTCACTTCCTTTGAACACATTTGATTTATACATATACATATTAATACATATACATATTTTTTAATCATGCAGAAGGAATAAGGAACCTTTTGTCTCAAATTTTGCTCTTTATTAGTCTTGAAGATAGTTCTCAATGGCTCAATGTCAGCCAGAGAAGAGAACATTCATAGTCTAGTAGGGCATGTAGCCTTGGACTGTGAGCAGTTTAACTTTTTCATCAGGGTCACAGTGACAGGAGGCAGAACATTACATGCTCGATCAGATCATAAATGGCATAGTTTGTATAAAACCACCAGCAGCCTACAGATAGAATAATTGGCTTTCCATGTGTCATGTGCCCTCCTATGAAAAACGCACTTGCTGAAAGTCTATAGATCAGTCATAACCTTCAAGTATTTTAGACCAATTTTTGACCTTTTCTTGATCTACAAAAGGAATTTGATATGATTCAACCTAATATCTAGAAAAGAATAATCAACTATTCTTCAAAATGATATTGAACTGCAGCATGATTTAATTAAAGTATGACATAAGCCCCAAGTCCAAGTGTTATTCAACATTGGAATGTTTTCTAAAAGACATTTTGATATCTCTCCTCTTTCAGTGTGAAAAGAGAGGAAAATCAATTTTGTATAAGAATCCTCATTTAAATATAGTTCTAACTTGGAAAGACTAGGTGACATTTTAAAGACTCTTCCATTTTCTGAATTCTATGACTGAAGTTCTATAAAGTGCAGCTTTTTGGCTGAAGCTAGAAATTTAAGCACTGAATTAAATTCATCATATTATTAAGTTTTGATGCTAATCTCCACCTTAATCATAAAGCCAAACTGTTGACCCTATTTCTCTAACATTTCTTCCAGCCTGCTTGAATCCCAATTAAAATATTCCCATTAGCCATTCCAGACTTTGCTTTGGCAGCCATGGCCCTGCTTTGTTATTTGGAAATTATGAAATGCCTTCTATTGTTTAGTAGAGCACACTATATTCTAATTGCTCATGTCCGTCTGTCTTCATCTGTGTCTGTGTCTGTGTTAATTTTGTTCGATGCAGTTGCAGATGCAGATACAACTGTGAAAAGTCTTGAACAAGAAGCTGATCGACTAATAGACAAAATCAAACCCATCAAGGAACTTGAGGATAACCTGAAGAAAAACATTTCTGAGATAAAGGAGCTGATAAACCAAGCAAGGAAACAAGCCAATTCTGTAAGTTTTTCTTATTTTCAGTATCAGTTACTAAATGCAATTGTTGGTAGTTCAAGTAGAAATGCCTTCCCCCAAGGAACCCTGTTGATGGATCTCTGGTTCTTTTTGTTTAACTTGAAACAATACAGAGAGAAAAAAAGTTAGATTATTTATTTCAGAAATTTCAATAGACATCTCATGAGAAGAATAATCATCATTTATTGTTTTAGAAATGGAAATTCTGTGTATTTTATTATTGCTTGAACATGTTATTGTTGTTGTTGTTGTTATGTGCTGTCGAGTTGGCCCTGACTCATAGCGACCCCTACTTGGGTTTCTGAGGCAGTATCACTACAGAAGTAGATTGCCCAACCTTCCTTCCGAGGAGTGGCTGGTGATTTGAACCACCAGCCTTCTGGTTAGCAGTCAAGCTTTAGGCACTATGCTACCAGAGCTCTCTTGCTTGAACATAGTGGTACAAAAAACTTTTCTAAACCTTTTTATGGTGGCAGCTAGATTGGTTTTCAGACTAGTAACACTTGCATATGGCCCATAGTGGTATCCACACAGATACAAGACCATACTTAGAGCCTTCGCTGAAGGTCACAGAGCCTACGAAGTCAATTTGTTATTTATGCACAAGCCAAGGGCTGTGATGGATATGAAAACCTTATTATTATATACTAAAAAAACATTGTTTTTTTAACTATAATTATTGAAGGATATATGGGTGTGTATGCCTAAGGTATTTGACTGCTAACCAGAAGGTTGGCGGTTCAAACCCACCAGCCACACCTTGGAAAGAAGGTATCATCTACTTCCATAGTGATATCTCTTTGGAAACCTAAGGAGAGGTCACTATAATCTACTCAACGGCAGTGAGTTTGGGTTTTTGTTTTTTTTTGTAATGGGTGTGTGTGTGTGGGTATGTGTATACATATATACATATATATCTTTTTGTCATTGTATAAGCAACAACAAAAAAAAACAGTTTGGCTAAAAACAGCATATACGTATTTTTTAATCATGCAGAAGGAATAAGGAACATTTTGTCTCAAATTTTGCTCTTTATTAATTCCATTAGAAGACTATTAAGATAGAAACAGAATTTTCTAGAAAGTAAAACTTTCATTTCCTGATGAATCAAGAAAGATGTGTTAAATGTCACTGTGAAATTTTATATAACCTATTAAAATCATCCTTTGATGACTTTAGAAAAAAAAATCAGATATTATGTTATATGGCTTAAATGCAAACATTTTTAGAAATCTAAGTCTTCTGTCTCAACATTTCTGTTGACCTAATAATCTTGGTGTCAGCTAGGATGACCAGAAACACACTGTTTTTAAATCCATCAGTTTAGATTTTTAAAGAGTGGTGCAGAATATGATTCTCAAATGACAATATTATCCTTTTTCTCTTATACATATCTAAGATTTCTAAACATGGCCAAGGCAATAATAACTTCAAGGTGAGCCTTGAAAAGGAATTTATGACTGACTGAAGAAAAACTTAGAAAATTACAAAAAGTCTGGTAAAGGTGATGTTTCAGAAGATTGTAATAAAAGAAGCAATGATAAAGTCAGAAAAGACAAACACTGCACAATAATAAGAGGACCATGTAACCTCTGTAAGAGGTGATCATTATATGTGAGGCATAAGATGAAAATGTGTGTGGTTTTAGCTAAGATTTAGGCAGTGTAGAAAAAACATCCCCAGTGGCACAGTTAAAGTACTCAGCTGCTCATTGAAAGGTAGGAAGTTTGAATCCAGAGGTACATCAGAAGAAAGGTCTGGCTAACTGCTATAGAAAAACAAGGCATTAAAAACCCTATGGAGTACAGTTCTACTCTGACATGCATGGGGTCACCATGTCTGTGAATCAACGCAATGGAGACTAGTTTTGATTTGTTGGGGGCTGTCTGCCATAAAGTACACAAGATGAATGTGGCAATTCTGCTCACAAAGTCTATAATCTAGTAGAAGAAATAAGACATGTATGCAGACAACTCTAATAGAATGCAGAGTATTGTGCTACATTACACGTGAAATGAGAAGCACTGTAGAAACTGAGAAAAATTGCCTCTAGTAGGTACTGGAAGATTTCCTAAGGGAGGGCTTTGAGCCAGGCCTTGAAGTGGGAGATGGGAGGGGATATGATGAGGTGAGGGAGAGTATCTGAAAGAATTCTGAAAGAGAGCAAAGGTGAAGAAGTTTCAAGGTCTGGTTCATGATAGACCAGTCTACTTTGCCAAGAGAAATTGGTAGACTGAACATGAAGCTGAAAAGGTCACTGGAGGCTAGTTCTCGTCAGGCCTTGAACGACAAGTTAAATACTTTCATTTAGCAACAATTGTATCAGGGATAAACCTCATTGGCACGGAAACTGAAAATTATTGATCATGAAATGTGGTATAATCAGAGCTGTGCGTTTTAAACATGAATCTCAAAGTAGTGTGTGGGATAGATGAGAGAAACTAGAAAGAAGAAAGCAAATTTAATAACAGGCTAAACCATAGCTGTGGCAGTGGCAAGAGAAAGGAAGAGATTGATACACCACTCCTGTATTTTGCAATATTAACTTTGAAGAAGCAGTAGTAGTAAATATTCTTTGTGAATCACACTTTTAGCCATATTTTCTGGCTCAGTCATCAAATGAGGAAATCTGGACATTTTAATTATTTCTTCCCTGTAAAGAAATCTACACATATGCC